GTTAAGCAGAACAGACAAGTCCAAAGATGCTGATAATAGCTGGATCTGGCGACATCTGGAGGCTGCGGCCTCACTATCATACGGACGCTAAACTATCTTGCAAACGATCTAAAACGAATTATGCATGTCATGCAGACATTCATATGAGGAGTTAAACAGCAATTAGTCATTCAGAGAACACATTTTAGAGGGAGACAGGCGCGATAACTCTTGAGATCAGGGCTTTTCACCAGCTGACCTCCGTTACAGAATAATAATAAGTCAATAGTTCATAAGAAACTGCAAGCGATTAAATAATTTCTACGCCCTCCTTTGCTTTCTTACAAAGTGAAAGTAAACAGGAATCAAGTCGTACTGCTTTTATAAATCCTCAGTCAGTGAATAAAACGAAAAAGGCTTCTTACTGACCGCGTCCAGATGTTTCAGGAAGAATCCGATGATTTGGAGAAAGTGAAACTACTTTGTCTTCTTCCTTTGATTTAGCAAACCAACACATTGTGCATTTCTGCCACCTGCTGAGATGGAGTGAAATCATCAATGTGAAGTAAAACCCTTCTTAACTGAATTATTTTTATTAGATTTGTGGCCTTTAAGAATTCTAATAAGATCTTGAAAGCTTGTAAAGAGTTTCTTAATCAATTCTGAAGTGCCAAACCATTTATAACTAATGACTTGATTTGATTTTCCAGCATTAATCTTTCATTATTATATCTGACGCACTATAACAGAACATGCTCCACAGTCTCTGGATTTCTACAAGTATTACATAAACCTGAGTCATGCTTCCTAATCATATGTAAAGAATGAGTGCAGTGGTCAAGTCAAGTCACCTGTATTTATACAGCGCTTTTCACACTACAGAATGTGTCAAGCAGCTTTACAGTATTAAACATGAAAAATAGTGTGTAATAATGCAAACAGACAACAGTTTGTTGTGCTGGTGAGCCAAAGACAAATTTCCACTCAGGTGGACAATAAAGTTATACAATACAATACAATACAATACAATACACACTTAATCTTCAGTTAAGGTCAGTTCATCATTGACTCAGTGATGTCACCATCAGCTCAGTTCAGTTCAAATAGTATCTGTGCTTTCAAGTTGATGATATCGCTGGACAATAAGTGTTTTTTAATCGTAAAGCCAAGTTATTTGTTTAAGAGCAGTGAGTGATTTTCTCTTTATTTGTGTGTTTATTACATTTATTTATTTATTGGATTAACATTAAGGACACCGACAGCAGCTTGTAAATAAGACACGGTCACTTTAAACACAATTCATAGGTCTAATATATTGATACACATCTGATTTCTTTCTCAACTGCTTATGTTCATGTTATTATTTATTAGTTATTATTTAGTAATTTATCAGACGCTTTTATCCAAAGCGACTTACAAATGAGGACAACAGAAGCAATCAATTGTAGTATTAAAACAACAAAAAACAGATCCAAAACTAAAAGCTAAAACTTTATAAATACTGCTTATACACATTTAAAAAATAAAGAAATTAAATAAAAATGACAAATGCATACAACAAAATTTCAAAACTAAACATTTAAATGAAAAACAAAAAATAAAGCTAAAAACAATTCAAAATACTAAAGAACAAAAGGTATAAGAGTATAATAATGATTCTAACATAACACTAAGCCAAACACCAAAAAAACAACTACATATAGGTGTATGTACAGCCACACACACATACATGTATATATATATATATATTATTTCATTTCCATTTAGTTTGTTGAAGTATTAAAATAACTCAAATTAAATAAAACTAAAACTTAATACAAGACCTATACAGACAATAAATTTAGACATAATTTAACTAAAATTAAAATAAATAACAAATACAAATAATACAAATCAAATGACAGTAGTTTATCAGTAATCCTGAAAAATAACACTGCCAAACTTCAGAACCAGTTTACAGAGCTATCATTAGCCTCTGTACATGTGCTGTTATTCAGAGAAACATGCAAATTGATACCAAACTTACATGCTAAAAAACAACAACTTACTTACACATATTAAGAAATGGTTATAAAAACTGAAACAGAAGCGAAACAATAGGAAAGAGGAGAAATAAAAAGCAATACTTATTTAACTGACCAAAATCTAGTTAAATAATAGAAATTATTAAAAATCATTTTAAATAACCAAACTTATTTAAGCTTTACTTATTTAACTCATTTAACTGACTGTTTTCGAGGATACTTGCCAAGACGGGTGTTTTGACATATTTTTGTATGTATTCAATGCTGTTGGGAGTCACTTCAAAGATTTTACGTATCGTTAGTTCCCTTTCATGGGAACTTCGAACTGCGTCCTCTAGGGGTCGCTATGGGGAACGCCTCGTCGTGACCCGTGTCTGAAGCATACATTGAAAAAACACCAA